CTGATAGGTTATACTTTTTCGCGAATGATTACCACAAAACTGATAAGTTATACTTTTTCGCGAATGATTACTACAAAACTGATAGGTTATACTTTTTCGCGAATGATTACTACAAAACTGATAAGTTATACTTTTTCGCGATTGATTACTACAAAAATATGTATTACATAAATTCCTACTATAATATAGGGGACTAGGGTACTCACCACATTTTCTTAAAATGTTTAGTGCCACGGGATCTGCAGACTGATTACCCAACACCACGTTTTTGACACTGGAGCTAATCGTCGCTGGCTGATCTCTCATAAGAATAATCTCCATTTTAACGGAACTTTCCAGAGTACCAGTCATAGAAGCCTTTCCCAAACGTTGAAGTGCAGATGTAAAGTCGTATTCTCCGCTTATGTGGGTACACGAAGAACATATATAATCTTCGGTCATTTTATTGAGAACACCGAGTTGAAATTTGCCAAGACCCTCGCATGTTGCATGTTGCCACGTGTTGCAACTCTCACAAAAAACGGCGTTGTTGTTGCACTGCATAGCGCATGTGCCGCAACGCCATTTGCCTTTACCAGCACGAGCTGATTTTCGAGCCATTTTCTAATCAAACTGAACGAACTTTAAACTTTTTACCGCGAAGAAGATTTGTGAGAAGCTTTCCAAAGCAGTGCTTGATGGAATGATAATATGTTTATCAGCCCAATATAGGTGAAAACATTGAAACTTAGATTGTTATGCTAATGGCCATAAGCTGGGTGAGTCATTAAACGAGTTTTAGAACCCGCATTAGCATATGAGAAAAATAACGCGAGTCATATATAACTTCAGTATCAGTCTACAAACCGACTTTCACCCAAACCGACGGAATTTACGACAGCGAAAAACTTTTTTAACAATTATGTATTTTTCCGAAACCCCTATGAATGGAATATTTTTGTGTTTTACTTGCTAAAAATTGTCGCGCAAAAATATTTTGTGTGGCTGTAATTACTTCAAAAGCGCCGTTTTCTAAAGCGGGATTACATTAGCGGTGCAACAATAGCCCAAATTTTCAATAGGCGCGTGCCAGAAATAGCTTGCCCAAATGATATAAAGACCTAAAAATAAACATTAACGAAAAGTAGAAATCTATTGCGATAAATATTTGTATATTTTAAATTTGATTCTCACTTGAACAAAATGTTGCAAAATTAATTGTTGCGGGGGAAACCTGGCCGAAGCAAGGAAAAAGTAACGTTCTCCGTTTGAGCGTTTTCTCGTGGTCTAAAATGATCGTTTTTCAATTCAAAAATCATTTGTATCAAGAAATGCCAACTGTCATAACAGACAATTTGTATCATGAAATGCCTACTGCAACAATATAACAACTGCCTAAAATAGACAAAACACTTCTCGACGTTTTCGACCTGAGGGCCTATCGTAGGAAATAATAACCGCAAAATTGCCGACCGAGACCCGCGAAAAAATTTTCGCATTTAAAGGAAATTCTTCGGTAAAGTCAAAGAAATTAAATTTTTGACTGCGGAAGCACGAAAGAAAATTGTCATGGCGTGTGGAAGCATACAAAAACAACAAGACGGGAATTTTGGATGGGAAATTCGTGTTTTTTAACCTTGTTTTTTACAAATATAGTCGAAGAGACCCTTTATTAGCGTCTATTTTATCGTTGTCGATGATAATAAGCTTTCTGTGAGTAATTTTTAGCTTGTTGTCGGTTGTTGTCGGTTGTTGTCGGTTGTTGTCGGTTATTAGTAGGACCCCAAAATAGCAACAACAGCATTTTAGCAAAAATGCAATCCATCGGCATTTCGTTTGGTGACAGCCTTACGTTATTCGAGCATTTGGTTAAGCAGTCAGTACTGAAAGATCGAGATGGAAATAGTTGTGCTTTAAATCAGTCTGCTGTTTACGAGGCTTTGTTCGATCGACACTTCGACGCACATGATGCCCTGGAGGACGTGAAAGCTTTGCAACGAATCCTTTTTACATCACGGCTAAATCTGTCAGAAAATGAGCTGATCTCGCACTGTAAACCCATCCCCTTTGAACAAGCACATCGAGACAGTCAGTACTTAGCCAAACGACATCAACTGCTACAAACGTTTAAAACCAAACTTTACGATCACGTAAACGGTGAAGGAGTCACCAAAGCCATGGCCGAGAAAATCGCAGGTAGTGGCTTGAGTTACACTGATCTTTACGACAAATTTGGTAGAAAAGAACTGATTGGAGTTCTATCCAGCCCACCGACAAGTCAAATTGATTCCAACAAGCCAAGGGTCACAAAAACAAAACGAATTCTGCTATCCATCATACAGCACTTCGAAGCCAGTATGGCCGCCGAGGAATAGTTTCGCGCGAGATCACCACGCGACAGATAATGACATGCGCAGATAGCGATGTTGTCGAATTGAAATTCTATCTTGGCCGCGTAAGTTTTTACAATTTACTAAAGGGAATAATTTTAGTATTCTTCGGTGAATTTTTTTAAAACTCAGCAGAATTAGTAATCAAGGAGTGTAGAAAAAAATATCCAAATTTAAAAAATATCTACAGATATGATTTTTCGTAATAGTTTTTTTCAAATATCACGAAAACTTATCCTACAATTCTCCCTTAAAATTTGATATTTTATGTCGCGAGAGGCAAAGAATGTCCACAAAAAATTTTAAAAAAATTTACCGAAGGATAAAAAAGATATTACCGATTTCTTCGAAAAATCAACAAAAAATGTACGTTATATTTCACGTCATTGTTGCCTGGAAACAGCAGCATCGTTCGAATTTATTATAGATACTTAGAACGTGTAATGTCCAGACACATCACACGCCGCGCTTAACCCTCTGTTAACAAATAACAAAACGTAAACGCATGAAAGCGCAAAACCATGCGAAATACGTCAAAATTCTAAATTACTGTAGGGAGGCACCTTAAACTGTGCCCAAGCAGCCTTCATGATCCGCCATGTTTGGTTTCACACTTTGAACGAGGTATTATATGGGTCAGAATCTGGGTATATAACCATGCAAATTTAACCATTAATATATGTATCGACGCATGCATGATGACTCATTGACGCAGTTGTATTCAAAATGGCGGATGAAGTTGATCAAGTTTCATTTCTTTGGAGATCCAAAATTGCCAAGAAAGTGCACTTAAAATTGCTAAGAAAGTACTAATTGGTAGATCCACATCAAAATTTCATGCATTTGCTATGTGTTTCTTGTCCTTTTTCAGTCAATTGTGGTAATTACAATGTACATGTCACTATCTTTTTGATAATTTGTGTTATACATGTAAGTTGAATTTGTAAAAGATGCTAACAAACGGAGGAAGATAGACTATAGAACATCAAGTTCATTGAAACGTGTGGTATGCATCTAGCAAATAATAAAATATTGCAGCAGTAGCATGCAAATATGCATATATATATATATAATTATATATATATATATATATATATATATATATATATATATATTATATAATATATATATATATATAGTTCTGGTGAAATTTTAGGTCAGTGAATGGTATGAAAGAAGCAAAGTTCCAGCATTAGTTTTGTACTGGAAAAATGGTACACTCCATTCTTTGTGTCAGTCATAAAAAGAATTCCAAAACTATTAACATTTTTTTAAGTAATGTTCCTAGTCTAAACAAACCTGGAACATGATGCACACCCTATGCAATTTATTTAGGTCCTCCTAATCTTGAACAAGTCTTCACCAGTTTTGTTGAAGATCCATCTGTGGGTGAAAAGTTCTCTAGATCTGTTTTGCAGATTTTTTCTTCACGTATGTAATAAATGTTAATAATCATATGATATATATGTTAATGTTAATCATCATATGATATATACACTTATCAACAAAATGATGAAAATGACCATGGCATTTTTACCCAATGACCTTGTTTCTATGTTATATTATTGTAGCATGTCAGAGATACTGTAGACATTGGTAAAATTTGCCTTTTTTATTGGACAAATTTTCTTGCTGATTTAGGCTGACTAACAAAGTAATTTTCAAACATACTAACATGAAACATTAGTAAATATTTAACAAAAAAGAAAAGTGAGTGACAGGTACAGTATGTATGGTCATTTGTGCTATTTTTCAGGTTATTTTCAGTTGATTATCAATACCGGCACCACTCCTGGATAAAACTTTTGGATTATAATACAATTGTTCTATTCTCAACAGGACAGAATGTGCCATCAACATCACATCCTTCTGTAAAACCAAGCATACCTATCATGAGTGATTACACCCAGTTAAATACTGAAACTCTGAGGAAGTTTGTGTCATCTGCAGTGCAAGATTCAGTAACTTTTGGTACTGTTTTTCTTTGAAAAAATTGTTTATTATATTAATGGTAAACCTTTAGTGGTATACTAATGTGCTATCACTGTATCTTACAGGAACTCGAATTAAATAGGTTACAAGCCCCAGTGGTGGCCAGAGGATGTTATTTGGAGAAATCCAAGTAACAAGTCTGCAGCAGGACCAAAAATGAAATCTGCAGTGCTGGCATTGGTTTTGTTCGCATACCGAGATTGGTATGAATCCAGTGTGCAACCAGGTGCAGGACCATCACATATACCGCCTCAGGGTAATTCAGTCGAAAATTCTTTCTTTGCTGCAGCGGCTGATAGTAACTTGTTACCAGAGGAGGTAGAGTTAATGGAGAATATTTTGAAAGAAAATGAAGAAAACGTATGTAGCTAAATCAAATTATTGTATAGTCTTACAAGCATGATTTTGTAGAGGAATTTAATTGGTTTTCTATATTATGGTTGAGACTCCCACTAAGATGCCTAGTACTTGCAGTACACCCTCACCTGTGGTTAATCTGTAACAAATGACCATTGAATTTTTCCTTTTTTTGAACTTCATTTGCATTGTTATTTTTATGATAAATGTTTGAAATTTTGTACAGTAATGATAAATTTAAGTGCCTTTTATTATTCATTATATCTCTAGAGTACAATGAGCTTTTCTGATGAAGAATACTGCAGCAATGTCTTGTCTGTTTGTCAAAAGTTATCCTGGAGGGCTCTTGAGATATGTGCCCCCGTTATAATTGGAAAGATGTGCGGTGACGATGAAGCCGCTATACATGAGCCATATCCGCATAACTACATTGGCTTAGAAAGGCTTGATAAAAGGTAATGCCAAGCACAGGGGCAAAAAGGCAGTAGGGGCTAGTATTAACTATGTTGAGTGGAAGTTTAAAATCATCTCAAATGAGTTTTTTTTCCAGACTTTATAGTTTCATTCCACCATTCAATACAATGTTGTGTGAGGATGGAACGGAGTTAGAACCATTCCAAGCGAGTTCTTTTGGTAATTGCTTTTGGTGTACTCTTTCCATACATCTGGCAGGGAATGAAAGCAAACAGAATTTTCTTCGCTTGGCCTCTGCCCTAAACGGGGTGGTTATTGCACAAGACTTTATTGTTAAGGTACTGTGTGATCATCCTTTTTCACGCGGCGAATATAAAAGGGCGTCAGCTTATCACGAAAAACGCATAGCACTTCAGAAGAGTTTCATGTACATTGTAGTTGAGATATTTATCTTTGTGCTGTCAGTGAAGTAATAGACGTTCAGTTTTAATGCATTTGAAAGGTTAATAAAATTATATTGACAAATATATTATGTAAACTTGACAGCATGACAACAAAATTTGGAACGACATGCGCTCCATGAAAACGGTTTATAATGAGTTTGAAAAACGATCTTGTTGAACATGTTGTTTATTATAGATATTTGAACAGTGTATCACGTTTGATGATGCTTTGCAATGGTCGAAAACTGTTTGCAGTACAGAAGACACGTCTGAAACCACAATTATGGAGGTTGTTCATGAAAGTTATGTTTCTGAAGTTAAGGAAACATTCAGAAATTTTAGGGACAGTGGTATGATCACATTCATTTACATCAATTTTGCGTTATATCAGAGATCTTCTGCCGTTCCCCTTATATGGTAAATTATTCGTGGGCGTAATGACGTACGGAGGTGGCTAAGCCAACAAGACATGAATCCTTGACTAGTATAATTTCATTGTTTTATTCATTTTCAGGGCTATTACAGGTGTATTTGGCCTCCAATTATTTAAGAAGACCGATCAGGCAGTTTTGTTTGCTTCCTGGTGCCGACCATTATCGCAGTCGCGTAGAGCCTTTGCAGCGGCAGAATGAGGAAGAGAAGAAAAAAGCATTAGATGTCTTGTGGGTTCTCTTACGGTTGAGCATGGGCAACGTAATCAATACAATCACATTGTGCCTTTGTTAGCTTGGAAATGTGGAGCAGCACCATATAAATTGTGCATGTTCAACAGTAATATGAACCTACATTTTTCAAATTTAAAACCAGACTTGGCACAATGTGATTTGTGTCAGGAGTGGTATCACGCCTGCTGCCTTGGCCAATCTATACGCCACATCAATAGAATGGAGAGATTTAGTTGTGGCTGTGATGCTTTACCTGGAGATGCTAATCAAATGACTACAAAAAATGCGTACGTTATATACTGAATTATGGGCAGTTTTTTCATCGTTCTAGGGAAATCTGTAACTAGGTTCTTCACTGCTAATAAATTTTTATCTCTTCAATCTTTAGGGAGATATACAATGATATGGACATGTTCGAAAGATGTTTATCAAAGAAAGAACTGAAGGTCTTAAGATTTCCAGACATGGACATGTCATTTTGGTAACACACTGAACTATATGATTGTTAATTTTCATTTTCATGTAATTTTTAAGATGATAGCAAAGAACCTTAAGAGGAACGTAATTCCGTACTTGAGGGCAGGAGCTTCTTCTCATGCCATCTCTTCCTCAGAGGACATGAAGATATATCTGAAGTCTCTCGATTATGGGCCCGTCATGTCATCTAATATGGTAACCGAATACTCATTTAGTATTTTCTCTTCTCTGCTAATATATTCTTCATCAAATTCTTCCATTCGTGACCATTGAAAGCAAAGTTTTCATGTTAGTGATGATTTAATTATAGAAAATAGTGTACAGTACAATTTATTACTACCATATTGTATAAATACACAGGTACAATCACTATTTGACGCTTATCTTCCTGTTGTAAATGGAATTCGGATTGAAGATGCTAACACCCTTCAAGATGTGCTTCTTCCCGAGGTAATCCATGTTTTTAGAATCTTCCATTTGCCCTTCACTCTCGCTTTTCACATTTGAGTCTCTTTTCTTGAATGCTCTTTGCTCTAACTACAAATAGTTAATGTGTAGTGCAAATAATGATTCGAGCGTGTAACTATTACTATTTTTAGGCTATTGTACAGGTAATCCGCAAGGCAGAGGGTCTAAACTATTTTAGAGCATGGTTGTTCTATGCCAAATGCAAGTTGCATTCCTGTCCGCAATTGAACGTATAAATAAAACTGAGACACTAGGTTATATAGTTAGTTTGTACATACGATATAGTATGTATGATGTATTTTGTATGAACGTTTCGAGTTTACATTGTTTGCCTATTGCACTTCACGATCAATCTCTGATTCCGTGTACGTCCGTTTCATGCACTTTGCCTGTTCACACTACTGATGTTTTTTGTGTGGCACGGATGAAATTCGTACCGCCAGTTTTATCTGTGTTAGCTTTGTACATGCAAATAAGTAACGCAATCATTAATAAAAATGATACAGGTAAATATTTGTATAATACGTGCCTTACCAAAGAATTGGTGCCTATAGTATAAACGGGTTGATTTTCTCTTTCGCACTTGTGTGGACGGGGTCTAAATGGTGCACCAAACAATGCATTTTACTTTCAAGGGCTGGTTGTAAAACAGCCATATTTGGTATTTAAATCGTTAACTCCAATATACTCGATTCGTTTAATACAACAACCCTAAGGTGAACGTGCATGCATGATATTCGATAGCGATTTCCTTGATACGCATATCGAAGTTGTAATTGACTATGCGCCCCCCCCTAATTATCGAAGCCCGTATGCGTTGCGTTGATAAGAACGTTCACACGATAGAAAAAAAAACAAAACTTTATTTGAAGAGGTTTGAAAAGCTTTAAAAATTGTGTCTGGCCAACCATTATATGTTAATGGTGTGAGTTCGATTCTCACGCACAATCTGAGGCTTTTCAGTTCATAATTATTTAAGTTAGAATTACTGAGTTAGAATGTAGTTTCACAGTTAATCAAAAATGCTTTCTAATATCATAAAATATGATTCAGATTTGTCATTTCATTCGAGAAACTAGTTACTTCCGTTGAACATTTCAGTGTAAAAGACTCATCAGCCCATGGTTAATAATTCCAGAATCTGGGTACAAGTAACCATTCGTAAGTATTAAGTCGCAAAGTTCCATTTTTTTAACATATAAGGTTTCTGTTGCAATACTTCGGGTATAAAAACCGTCATTTCATTTCCAGGGTTCACAATGACTGCATCATGTTTACTACATGGTGCACGCGTATCTTGTTACGCATTATAGCTACAACTGATACGATAGCACTCCACAGGATGAAAGGTAATACGAATGTTAGAAATAATGAGTTAGAATGTAGGTGGGTATAACAGAACGAATCTAGTTAATAAAATACGGTAATATGAAGTTGCTTGCATGATGGTAATCACAGTTTCCAATATTTTATTGTTTCAGCATGGAAATTGGCACAGAAACCAAATGCAAGGTTATGCCAGCCCAGAATCTGGGTACAGTTAACCATGGTCATTTTTACGGTATTTCGTAAAAAATACTGTCTAATATCATAGAATATGATTCAGATTTGTCATTTCATTCGAGAAACTAGTTACTTCCGTTGAACATTTCAGTGTAAAAGACTCATCAGCCCATGGTTAATAATTCCAGAATCTGGGTATATGTAACCATGGTTCATTTTTACGGTGTTTCGTAAAAAAAGCTTTCTAATATCATGAAATATGATTCAGATTTGTCATTTCATTCGAGAAACTAGTTACGTTCGTTGAAAATTTAAGTTCATATATATAGCGGCTAAAGCCCACGTTGTGCGTGAGAATCGAACTCACACCATTAGTTAAACGGCTACCCAGACACAACTTTGCAGGCTTCCTAAATGCTTTTGCGAGTGGATGTGTTGCATGGTTTTAGATTTGATACGTCGGTATATATTCTTATTGAATGACAACTTGTGTCAAGTAAATCTAAACAAGATATATTGACTCCTTAAAGAAATCTGTGCCACCAAACTTATAATTCATAGAGGTTATTACGCTATAGGGTATTGGTGTGAAACACTCATATAGCAAGCGGTGGATCAAATGTTACAATCTTAATATACCGTGCATGTGTTTCATCCGAAAAGGAATGCATGGTGATTAATAATGAAAATAATTATACAAGGAGCCCTTTATTTTTGAAGCGTTACGTTTTATACACATTCAACTGACACTTATACGTCACTATCCTTCGTATTTACATTATTACACTAATTATTAATTCATCTGTTAATATTTCTCATCATAATTTCTCTATTTTTGAACCATAAGTAGAAGCTACAGTGTCTGGAGAAATTTTCGTCATTCATATAAGAAAGGGGTCCTTTAATTTTTTTCAGTCTAGAGTTGCTTTGTTCGGCAATCTGACTGTTGAGATATTCATAGTCAGGATAGCAAGAGATATGGTAGGCGCTGGAACAACCTTGATAATGAATAAATACAGTGTATAAAAATACTGCGCGTACACTGTACAATACTATACACGCACATCCTATACAAGCAGTAGTCACATGCATAAATTCTCGATATCACGGATACAGTTGCTATTTCTTACCTGTGTGATCTGCCCAGTGAAGGCGATCTACTAAAATTGCATGTCTTTAAAAAAGGTTGGATCACGATTCAGACAGTAGGAATGCAAATTACAAGCATTATCGTATACAACGACTCTAGGAGCTACAAAAAGAGCGATAAACCATTGTTATTAATAAAAAGATGCAGGTTATTGTCTTATGACATGACAAGTCAGTTGAGGAAAAGTGAACCTTTTTTTGTAATGTGAGTATGTACTTTGGAATAAATGATAAATATAAATTTCCGCAACTGAGCAATACCACTTTGACTATTTTCTTAAGGATAACCATCACACGTTCACAGTGTTACCTCGTGTAAATCGAGATCGCAAGATTGTAAATGGCATATCTGGGGATTCGTTAGTAGTCATTACGGAGTATCCATAGTTTATACCTGAAAAAATTATCATAAATTTGTTGTGAGAACTAATATCGTGTAGGCTGCTTTATTCTTGTGCGCAGGATATACTGTACAATATATTCATTCGTTTGATGTGGTTTATATTTCACTTATCACGATTTCATAGTATTAATAACCATTTTACAGTTTTTCATAAGCCATAACAAAAAAGATCTCGTCAAAATTATGGCGAATTCTGGTGCTTTTACACCCAAGATATATAAGGGTTTTAAAATTGGTTTTCAATTATATGATATCGCGCGTTAGCAAAAATTAAAAGAATAGTCATTAACAAGAGAACTTACCATGCTGACAAAAAATAAGGAATATACCAGGAAGAAGAGTGGGATGTCTTCCAGACTTTTTCGTGCATGGATTCTCAAACGTTTGCTTTCCTTTGTCTGCAGCGTATGTCCCTCTGCCACGAACAGGTTTTAGGGAAAGGAAGTTTGCTAACAGCGAGGAAGGATTTACAACAGAATCATCCTGCGGTGCTTCACAATCTTTGAAAGCATTGTCAGCAATATTGAGCAGGTCGGTCAACAAAGGTATGAATTCTGCAGGTGCAAATGAATCACTTAAAGATGAGAAAATGCCAAATAAAGCAGGACACTTTCTTTGCAACAATTCCATATCACTCGGAAATTCTTTAACAGGCACACTTCTTTTAATTTTGTCACAAACACGTCGTAATTCTTCATCAAGAGGGAGAATAGCACAAATAGGGGTATTACAGGAAATGTCCTTTATGAACTTTGAAATACCAATCGGAAAAGCGGCTTCATTACCATAAATCGCAAGGCACCAGTCCAGAAAATTTGCCAGGGACGGTATACTTTGGTGTAATTCGGATTGAAGTGTATTTAGCTCATTTATATCAATTGCGGATACATCTGTACAAACTCTCTTCAGTGATTTTCTTGTATCCTTCGATTTCACAAAAACTCTGTTACTGTGCCTGGTAAAAAAACAAACAAAACAAATTCAAAGTATGATTTCATTATATTCTTAACATTTTTTTGCAATTAAATTTTATCAACTTGATAATACTTATCTTCCATGACCGGATTGTGCCGTTGTAGTAGTGGATGGGATGTGTAGAGTTGAACATAAGTTCTTTCTATATGCCAAGCTTGTATACATATGATAATTTCGGGATCACTTTTGCACGTTGGGCATTCAAAACCATCTGTGAAATCAATGTCCAGAAGTTGCAAGAACGCATACCATGCTGATCGCCAATGGTTATATTTTAGCGTATCGTTTAAATTGATGTTCAAAGAAGACTCTAGAGACAACGCCCATGACTGGTAATACGTATTCATGGATACACTGTAAACAAAATACATTAAGCTAAATTGATCTACATGTACAAGGCTGCTTGGTAACTTTTTGTCAAACGTTCGGAAGAACACGAGCACTTTTAATCTTCACCAACCAGTGATATGATGTGAAGTTTATTAAGAGCGAGCTGGGGTGATGATACAATTCTTAAAATACGCTTTTAAAATGTTAATGTAAATCTAAGATGTAGATTTAACAATCCTATTACCTAAAATAACAATTAAGCATATCAATGACTATAACCCTCCTTTCAAAAACAAGAACATGTATTCCCTTAGAACTTCATAGGATATTAGGTAATTCCCATGTTCAGTACGGTGTAAGAATAACCATCAATTCATTCACGCAATTTTCCCCCGAGCATGGCCGTTTGTAAACTATAAAAAAGACATTAACGATAATACCCTTCTTTCCAAAGACGTCAATCATGTCTTTATAGTAGCAAATACAAAAAAAGAAACTCGGAAGTTGAAGCTTTTTCTCTTTGAAATTTCTGAGGGAGCTTAATTATGTAATTTCACTGAGAAGAAATAAGAAACCATGTTGCGTATATTCTTGAAACAAATCCCGAAAAATGCCATAAACCATTTTACTTCCTCGATCGCATGGCAACATGCATTAGGCTTAAATTTCCATGTACGCTCATGCTCAAAACAATCAGTTTACATGTATTGGTTTTGATTATTGCTTGCATAAATATTAATAATTTAAACTTAAACTGAAAATTTTGTAAATGATATTAGAATAACAAGATAAAGAACAAATTGTAATCAATACTAGCATACCTAAACAGTCAAAGATTTTCCTCTTTCCGTACAATTTGACAGATTTAATATACCAAGATTATTTGTCTCTCGGATCTTCATCTCTAAAATTATTCCCACATAACTGACATGGTTCATCATTTAGGGCCGGAAAAGGGGGAAAAGAGCTAAAAACATCTTTCCTTCATCGTCCATAACTTCCGGGAGAACAGATTCTGGTCCATTTTGGAAAGAGCGACGTTTAATGGCTTTATAACATCATACTGATAATATATAAATAAATAAATACATAATTTGTACAACAGAATTAGATGTAGAAAGAAAACATAAAAATTACTTTAATTACCTTATATGTATGGTCATTCATTGAACTTTCTTTTTCTTGTTCTTCTGGAGTAATTCCATGTTGTGAGTCATAATCCAGAAGTAAGTGACATATTGCTTTTATGTGAATACACACTGAATTACGGAGATCTAAATTAAGTTAAACCAAGATTTTGTCTGCAATGCACCACACACAAATGTGAATTCCTCACTAAATCCAGACTAACCATATTCAAAATATCATTATAGAATAAAACTTATTATTAGTGTCATGCGAGGATGGAGTGGGGGGAGGGGTTGGGTTGGAGAAAATGGGTAACTAACATTTTTATAAATATTTATACTCACAGATATATAATATTTATAAAAATGTGTACTCATTTTTACAGATCAGCTTACTGGAAGAGGTAGATATAGGCTGTTTTCACAATCTCAAGGATAAAAATTTTGACCCTATGAGCCTAAACATTACATACCAGGACCTAAACATCACTGAACACCTCTATATCTTACAAATTTACTAACAATGCATCCAGATATACTTTTTCCCCTGACCAATAAAACTATCTGATGCCATTGAGTAGCAACAATTGCCACTCCTTGATATCATATTATTTTACTGCACACCTAAAAATCACCATGTTGATGCACATTGTTAAAAACAGGAGTGAACTATGTTGTGCTGCTGCATCCTGCGAACAGTATTGTTAACAATGTTGTTGAAACTTGTTGAGATATCAATGCTGTTGCAACTTGTCACAACAACATTGCATCAACACTGATGATTCAACAAGGTTCAACAACATTAACAATACTGTTTATAGAGTGCAGCGCAACATTGTTCATCCCTGATGCAACATATGGCTGTATATGTTGTGTACTCACGGGATGGTTCCTGCTGTAATAACTTTGACAATCCAGAGAGCAGTTGACTCCTTCTAGGTGAGCATGAACAGCTGTATAGCCAATCATACTGATTGGTAGGTAGTAGCAGCCAGACACTTCTGTGTACCACAATGAAGTTCATTTCCTTCAGCACAATAATTGGTAGTTATTTTGTAATTAATCATTATTGCCAGCCATGTTGCAAACTCTCTTATTCTCTAACAGTATACATATTGTAATAACTAATATGTAAATACAGGTTTAATTATATATCATCCAGTATTGAAATATTAACTATATATAAGTATTAAGCAAGATAAAGAGCTTTGTTCTCTCAATGAAGATGCTAATGATCAGCAACACTTGCCTTATTTCATTGCATTGTGCTCTTACCTTTATTCGTTTACTTTCGACGTTAAAGTCGGGCAATACAAATGCGCATTTGGTTACTACAGTTACCATCTCTAACCTAGAAAGCTCAGTAGCATAGGCAATTTCCACATTTGCTTCAGTGTTTTGCACCAGCGATGAATGAGGAGGTTGACAATCAATAACGACTTCTGGCGTTGTATTTTCATCGTACTGATCACATGAAAATTGTGGTTGAGAATCTGAATGACACTCCGACTCCGTCAGGGAAATATTTGTGGAAGATGTAGACCGATCTTCACGAACCATTTGCGAGGTACTTATCCGATGTGGAGCTCGGACTTTTGACTGATCTTTAGCAAGATTCTCTCCAAATATATATTTCCTCTTACCATTTATAACAACAGTTTTCCAAGGCTTCGTCCTTTTTTTCTTCGAACTTTCCGCCATCTTGGTTAGGTCCTGCTGCGCCTGCTTGATCACTGGTCTGCGGTAGATGCCAATGCAGGCGATTAATTTGCATGGTTATGTACCCAGATTCTGACCCATATAATACTTTTTTGAACTGGAGCGAGCCTTCCATATATATAGAGTTCACTGTGACCTCCCTCTCGGATTTGAACTCCCTTCACATATTTTATAATTGTATTGTGTCAATATTTTTTTCCTTTTTTAGTTTGTGTCAATATTTTTTTCTTTTTTAGTTTATAAACTATACTAAAACCTTAAATTTGTTGTTTTTTCTCATTTTTTGTGGGTAGCCGCTGCGCATACGCGGCTTACCACTATGTAGTTGAAAAGTGTCTGTGGTCTGTGGGTCCGTGTGTTTGTCCGTCCATCTTCGGCCATAGTCGGACGTACGAAAAATGACGAACATACTCGCTCGCGCGTTCTTCGCTGCTTTCGGATTGGTATAAATAAAAATCAAGATTTCATTTATATCGTTTGAATTTCGAAGGTAGTTGCATGTAGTTGAAGGTAGTAGCGTTTTCCATGTCAGTGTCAGTGTGTCAGTGTCAGTGTGTCAGTGTCTGTGTTTTCCAGCTAACCAGTATGTTCGTCATCTTTCGTACGTCCGACTATTTTCAGTGTTTATTCTCGACGGAATAATTGCGGAAGCAGAACTGGAAGTTTGGTTGTACATCAGTGAAGTAAGACAAGTTTGTTCCAATGCTGTCGCTTTGGTATTTTATTGCAAATTGTGTTTCATGTACACACGTTCCTGTTACGGGGCGCTCAGAAGCATGGGGCAGAATTGCCCCTTAAGATTGAACACGGACGCCCCGAACGTTGTGTTAGGTTTTTCTATTGTTTTGTAAAAAGCTTGCGCTTTTAGGAACTGGAATTTGACATTAAAATAGAATAAAATAACTTGTGTGTGAGCTTATACTATTTAACATGGTACCAGGAGTGAGGTAAACAGTTACTTATCGCTTAGAAGACTTATCGTGTGAAGCATTCCAGGAGCTTGTGTTAAAATTACGAGTGAAGTATTTCAGAAGATCGTGTCTGATTGAAAATATGACGGACCATGAGCAAGCGACAACCTCAACGGCATCTCAGCCTTCTCAGGAGGTTAAAGTGGTGCAAATTCCGGTGAATTTGCCAATGCCACCTCAGCTGGCCATGACCGGTAACCTGGCAACGAATTGGAAACGGTTTTATCGTGCTTGGCGCAACTACGAACTTGCCGCACGGCTGCGGGACTCTAGTGACCCTAGTACAAACAAAGAGCTGCGAACAGCGACTTTGTTGACGTGCATTGGAGCTGATGCTCTGGATGTCTTGGACGGTTTGGATTTCGCGAATGAAGAAGAGAGAAAAGACATCGATGTTGTTGTAAGTAAGTTGGAAAAGTATTGTATTGGAGAAACAAATGAGACGTACGAACGGTACTGTTTTAATAAAAGAGATCAAGAGTCACACGAAACGGTCGATGCTTACTTCGCAGTCCTTCGCACATTAGCCAAGACATGTAACTTTGGTAATTTGGAAGACAGCTTGATAAGAGATCGTATTGTTATGGGTATTAAGGACAACGCCACACGAAAGAAATTATTGCAAGTCTCAAAGCTTACCCTGCAACAAAGCATAGATATAGTTCGGTCTTGGGAGAAGACGGCGAAGCAACTCGAGTCGATGAAAGCTGAAGATGAGAAAGTGTTGGCTGTTAGCAAAGAACAGCACAAAGAGCAGAGGAAGCCAGTTGAGAAAAGAGCTGACGAAGGGCTAATAAGGTGTAAATTTTGCAGTAAATCTCATCTCAGAGATAAATTCAAATGCCCAGCTTTCACAGTGTAAAAGAAAGAACCACTTCGCAGTCGTCTGCAATGCTCAGAGAAGACCATTGACCAAAAGAGAGCCAGTATCCGGCATCAATACGGATACAGACTCGTCAGAAGGAGAGTATATAGCTCTGGTGGAGACCAAAGAAGAGGTGGGTGCTGTTAACTCTGATCAATACACCCACAAACCAAGTGCCTCCTTGATGATTAACAGAACACTTGAAAGTTTCCAGCTTGACAGTGGAGCAACAGTAAACGTACTATCTAAAAGAACACTGGCAGGGTGTTTCCAAAAGCCTATCGAGAAGAAGTTGGTGAAGACAAACACAACTCTGGTAATGTATAATGGGTCAGAAGTGAAGCCTATTGGAAAGACAAGGCTCCAAGTTATCAATCCTAAGAATAACAAGAAGTACAGCATAGAGTTTATGGTTGTGGAAGAGAATTGCAAGTCCATACTTGGGGCTAAAGCCAGTCAGCTCATGAACTTACTTGTTGTTAACAAAGAGAACATTTTTACAACTACGCCGAGCGTCAAAGATGCACCCAAGTTTATCACCAAAAAGTATCTCATTAAGGAGTATTGGAACAGTCCAAGGTCAAGGAACTTTACCAGGGGAACTGCATCTAGAGATTGATGAAACTATTTCCCCAGTCCAGCTCCCAACACGAAGGATTCCACTGGCTGTAAAAGACAAACTCAAAGCAGAGCTTGACCGACTAGTTGACACGAATGTCATAGCTCCAGTGGATACGCCGACGACCTGGATATCGGCTATTGTTGTTACAGTCAAGAAGAATGGGGACATCCGTTTGTGTATTGACCCCAAACCATTAAATAAAGCCCTCAAGCGTAACCATTACCCTTCACCCACCATTGATGAGATCCTACCGGATTTGGCCCACGCTCGCTGTTTCTCAGTCCTTGATGCCAAGAACGGGTTTTGGCATATCCAGCCTGATGAGGCCAGTTCATATGCAACAACCTTTGGCACTCCATGGGGTCGGTATCGGTGGTTGCAAATGCCCTTCGGCATATCACCCGCACCTGAAGAGTTTCAACGACGTGTGAACGATATCTTGTTGGGTCTACCTGGAGTCAAAGTCATCGCAGATGACCTTCTTGTTTATGGCAGTGGTGCGACAGATGAAGAGGCATATCTCGACCATGACAAGAACCTCAGGGGTTTGATGGAACGGTGTAGAGAGAAGGGTCTCAAGCTCAACCCTGACAAGATTCAACTTCGACTCGAAGAGGTTAGCTACATGGGCCATCGTCTGACATCGAATGGACTGAAGATCGACCCCGAGAAGACGAAGGCCATCAGAGACATGCCTGCCCCCACAGACAAGTTGGGAGTACAGAGATTGCTTGGCATGGTGAACTATGTGCAAAAGTTCGCCCCTAAGTTAGCTGAGATCACTACACCTCTACGTGATCTGATCAAGCACGGACATGAATTCCGGTGGGAGAAGCATGTGCATGGGAAAGCGTTGGAGGAAATCCGACAGATGCTCTCAGAACCACCAGTGCTACGGTTCTTCGACCCTGATGTAATGCCAGTCCTGCAGTGTGATGCATCCATGAATGGTCTTGGGGCCTGCCTGTTACAGAACAACCAACCAGTGGCATATGCGTCAAGGTCGTTAACACCAACCGAAGTACAGTACGCTCAGATAGAGAAGGAGATGCTGGACATCGTGTATGGGATGGAGAGATTTGAAAGTTATCTGTATGGTCGACACGTAAAAGTAGAATCAGATCATAAACCACTTGAGTCAATCCTAAAAAAAAGCCTACTAAGTGCACCAAAGCGCCTACAACGTATGATGCTACGACTCCAGAAGTTTGAGCTCGAAGTCGTGTACAACAAGGGACCACTTATGTTTATGGCAGATACGCTAAGTCGAGCAACTTCCCACCAGCCAAATGTCGAAGGACCAGGAGAGACCGAGGAAGTGATGATCATGCAGGACACAAGATCAATAACGGAAAGAGAAGTAGAGCAAATTGACATGCTGCAGAATCTAGCAGTAAGAGAAACTACTCTAGCCCAAATTAAAAGCACACAGCGGCAGACAGCAACCTGCAGGCACTGGTGAGAATTGTGAAAGAAGGGTGGCCAAACACAGAGAATGAGGTGTCTCCAGCATTACGAGTGTATTACCCGTTTCGCGACGAGTTGACCGTACAAAATGGAGTTATCTTTAAAGGCGAGAGATTGATTGTGCCAGAAGGATTGAGAGCTGAAATGCAAGAGAAACTTCACTACAACCATGGTGGGGTACAGGCTACACTCAGAAGAGCCAGGGAAGTATTCTATTGGCCAGAATGAACAAAAACATTGAGGATCTCATCGCAAAGTGCAATATTTGTGCGCAGTACCGAACAATAAACCAGAAAGAACCTCTTATGAGTTCTCCAGTCCCAACGCGTCCATGGGAGTCGATTGCAACAGACTTGTTTGAGTTTGGAAACAAAGATTATCTTGTTACAGTAGATTACTACTCTAACTTTATAGAGGTGGATAGACTGTACTCGAAGACCAGCACTGAAGTAATCCACAAATTAAAGGCACACATGGCACGGTACGGGATACCGGAGAGGGTAGTCAGTGACAACGGTCCTCAATACAGTTCCCGCGAGTTTCAGGATTTTGCCACACGATATGAATTCGAGCATGTGACCTCGTCGCCTCGATATCCTCAATCGAATGGGAAAGCGGAAAGTGCTGTGAAGATAGCAAAGCGAATTATGAAGAAAGCGTTGGATGCGAAAGCAGATCCGTACCTGGCAATACTAGAACACCGGAACACGCCATCGGAAGGTATGACTACCTCGCCCGCCCAACGATTGTTTGGCAGGAGAACAAGATCCCAAATTCCAATCTCGCGCCAACTGCTTGAGCCCACCTGTACGCATTCAACAAAGCAAGAGCTGAAAAAGGCAAGAGCTAAACAAGCCTACTATTACAATAGAGGATCCAAGAAGCTTACACCACTCAAGGTCGGTGATGCGGTTCGTATGATGCCCGAGAAAGGAAAGGATAGGTGGAGGAAAGGGACGGTGAAAGCGATTGTTAGTCCAAGGTCGTATATTGTGGCAACTGATGATGGAGGAAACTATAGAAGAAATCGCAGGCATATCCGGAAAACTGCAGAGCTAGGCGATTCAGAAGCAGATGTAGACGGAGAGTTGCCAGTGCAAGAGCAGGATACACCAGGCCAGCAGCAGGAGCCTGAATCTGAAGAACCAATTCCTCAGCCACCTGTAGAGCACACCACTCCCAGGAGCACAGTGAGAACATCAAATAGACAAACACGTAGACCGGCATATCTTGAAGACTACGTGACTGAAAACTAATATAAGTATGATGAAAAACGTTTATGTTTAACTCAGAAAGAGGGAGATGTTACGGGGCGCTCAGAAGCATGGGGCAGAATTGCCCCTTAAGATTGAACACGGACGCCCCGAACGTTGTGTTAGGTTTTTCTATTGTTTTGTAAAAAAGCTTGCGCTTTTAGGAACTGGAATTTGACATTAAAATAGAATAAAATAACTTGTGTGTGTGAGCTTATACTATTTAACAGTTCCTGGTATATAAAAAAATTGATTAAGACACCTTAACTGATACCAGAAATGAATAACACATCCGTTGATTGAAAACAATACTCTATAATTTTATATATGTATTCTTTTAGATGTTTGCCATGGCATATGGATCAGAAGTTGACATTCAGGACATGGACAACATCACCGCCCTGATGGAGCAAACAATTGAGTGCATCAGCGAAGTACATCCTGAATTTATGCAAAAACAAAAATTCCATATGTTGCTGCACTTACAGGATGACATGAGGAACTATGGACCACCTATTGGTTTCTGCACTGAAAGGTATTTATAACTCTATCAACTCTATCAAAGCTACATCTTAGCTTACATAGTCGCTCTTAATACTATATCAAAGCTACATCTTAGCTTAATTGCTCTTAATGCTTATATATGAAAATATACAATGCTTTCATACCTTAGATTTGAGGCATTTAACTCCATCATCAGACAATTGAATATCTTTCCTACCGCCAAGCCAGTAGCAAAAAGATATAGGAGACAAAAT